TTCTCACTGTTAAATAAATTGATTTAAAACGGTTCTGACAATATACGTAAGCAAATGTATTTTTATTCGGAGTATTAAAAGATATCATGCGTTCATTTTATGTGTTATATTCGAACTTGGATTTGCTATTTAGGTGCGATTTCCTGTTTTGTTTTTCTTCATCTTCTATAGGGCTGGGCTAAATTATGTGACGCAAATATTGTGTAACAGGAGAACAATTGGAACAGTTGATGTTAAAGTTGAATAAAAACTGAAATTAAGGGTCGTCAAGCAAAAGCTGAACGTGCCCTGTTGAAGAAGAAACGTTCACTGATCGTTGGAAAAGGATGTTTGAATGAAGAGGCAACCACAACACTTCTGTCATTCGTCACTCAAAACAAGAGTCAATACGAAGAAACGTAACTTCGTTTTTGTATTGTTATATTCTCGTTTTCTTATTCTGAATTATCTTTCATTCCGTTTGAAATCACAATAATTGTATTGTTTAAATGTAAGATCCACTGAATGTAAGATCAGTCAGTTCCTGTTCATTTTGTCAACTGATGATTCAAAAAGAGATAACTATTTGATTCGTGGAGCGAAATGAATAAAAATTGTACTATTTTTGCATCGTACAAGTCTTGCATCCTTTCATCGAATCTTTTAAACTATGTATCGTTGTCTTCTGAAGCAATTTTGAATTGTCTTTAAGTTGTTCCTTTCATTTCATTCTCTGATTTCACGTAAAGTTTTCGTTGAATATAATGGAAGAAGTGTTTCATATNTTTTTCGTTTATTTCGCCTTCATTTGATTTTCATGTACAGATCTTCATCGTCGTCGTCATCGGAAGGTGAAGAGAAGACCGAATTTATCACGTCGTTCGGTGAAGAGCCTGGTGATAAGGCGGATAAACGCAGTGACGATGATGACCTGTTGGAAGAGGACGAAGAGCGTAATGTCGTTCATGGGCCAGCTTTACCTTCAGCTGAATTTAGACGTATATTGTGAGTTGCGTTTGTTTTTCATCTAAAAAATGTCTTTCTGTATTTTGGCGTACGTTTTTCTCAGCTTTTTTTTCGCTAAAGAATTCAAGCGAATATCATATGATGATGAATGAATGTATTAATCGAGTGCAATTTCAGTGAACTGAAAACACGCCGTTCATCAAGTCCAGAGGATCTGAGCGGTGTGACACCGTCAGCATCCAGTTATGCACGTCGACGCGTTCGAAGTAGGTCACCAATGCGTAGGATGAGATCTAGAAGTCGGGACAAGTTTAGCAAACGGGATCGTCGAGAAATAGCTAAGTCGAGAAGTCGCTCTAGAGAGCGAGCTAGGAGTCGAACTAAGAGCCGGAGTCGGGAGCGTAGACAGAGAAGTAGAAGTAAGGATAGGAAGGGGGAGAGGAGTAGGAGTCCGATAAAGGTTAGAAATAGGAGTAGGAGTAGGAGTCGGAGCCATGGCAAAGGCCGCAGCAAACGCGATCGAGACCGGAAGTCAACTAGCAAAGAACGGCGAAGCAGGCGAAAGAGTCGATCGAAAAGGTTTGTGTCGAGTGAAAAATTTATCGCCCGATTGTTACTGGTCATTCAGATAGATGTTTTGAAGAGAACTGAGAACGCTGAACGAATTTGGATACATTTTGCGAATTTTATTTGGTATTCTATAAAGAATTTCTGATTTTGTTTGAAGATATCTCTTAAGATTTTCGTTCTCGACGCAAAATCTTTTTTCTGTTGTGTTGTTTTCTTGGTGAAGGCATCTATTTACCCCATAATCAGACGTTTAGACTAGAAATAATTATTGTTTCAAATACTTCTTTCTAACATTCGCCGATAATTCAAGTTTCTGTTGAACTGTTGACATCATGTTTCTATGTAAATGTTTCCAGTAGAACAAGAAGTGGAAGTAGGAGCAGAAGTGGGGAACGAAGTTCCAAAGCAAATGATTCACGTACGCGAAAAAGATCACCACCAAGCCGAAGTCCGTCATCATCAAAACGGTGATTATTTCATCGTCATCGTCATTAACGTATCCTAACGCAATCAAATTTGGTTGGACTCGCACACATCATTAATTGAATTACAAATACACAAGCATGTCGAATGTGGATGAATTGTTCAGGAAACGAAGTGAATCAAGAGAGCGTAAGAGTGGCGAGCGCCGATATCGACTCAGCGATTCGGGTGGAACAGGTCGTTTGTCGTCCACCGAATCGCCGAATCAAAACAACAGGAGTAACCTGATGTCACCGCAACAATCAAAAGTAATTTCTTTTCGGTGTTTTTCATTTCTTTAGTTCAAGCCAACTTGTAGTGAAAATGAACTTCAGAGCATTTATTTTTATTTATTTAAGAGCACCGGCTCAGTGTTATCACCGAGCCGAAGTAATGGTGATACGTCTCCACTGGCGATTCGTTCGAGTATGAGCGAATCAGAACGCGAACGCATCGAAGTGGAGAATCGCAGAAGGCGTATCCGACGAACTGCTCGGATGCATCGGTAACTTATCAACACTTTATATTCATTAGTATCAGTTTTATTAATTAATCTTCAAACGGCAACAACATAGCGACCGACCTAATAATGTTGTTGTTTTCTCGTCGCTTACTTGATGCAGCAATGCACACATACAAATCGCTTTCCGTATGTGATGTGAACATTCAAATATCTTAATGTCACATCACCTGAACTGTCTTTACTCACAATTTTTAAATGCTTTCGAATCTGCTGTAACATGCACAATATTCGAATATCTTCATGTCACTCATATTGTTTTTTTTTCTGTAACTGTCATTTTCAGACAGCACAATGTGAGCAGCACTCATGGAGATAGGTCATCAGACGATGAAACGGAAAGGGTAAGCGTTTCTTTAGTTGTCTTAGTTGCACTGAGAAATCACTGATATTGGCTTGTATCTGATTGATTTGGCTTGTATCTAATTGTTATCTGAGCGGAGCCAGGCCATGATCACAAAGATTTGACACGGTGGCTTAGGCATATATGAGGCCAAGCTATGATTTGTGTGGCTTGTGTCTAATTGCCTATTCGCGAAAATCGTTGTTAATGTCTTTGTTTTGTATGAAACGTCTTCGTGCCAGAAAAGTAATACTGGTTTGAAAGTGTTGCGCGTGAATCTAATCGGAAATACTTTAAGAAAACTGCACTGGCGCATCGTCTCAAACTACAAATGCAACGAGCTTTGCGTAAAACAGCGGAAGAGTTGAAAGAAGAGGAACGCCATAAGTTGGCCGAACAACTGGAGCAAAGACGGGTAAGTGCGGCTTGGGAATGTCTCCGATGAATATTTTGGCGTGTAATTTTGCAACGCGACATATTTTCAGTTATTTCATATTTATTGAATTTATTTCTATGTCCGGTAATTTTCAATTGGAATTAATGAAAAGCTGTGTATTATTTAGAGACGTGAAGAGCGAGTATACGAGGAATCATTGGAATTGAGACGAAGGTGAGAATTTTGGTAATGCCATGATTAAATTGATTCGGTGTTTTAAAGTGATCATAAAACGTCAACTTTGAATACTTTCGCTGACTGACGATGAAAAGCTTTACGTTCCAACCAATGGAACTGAATAATTTCGTCGATGAAGTCTGAGCGTTTCGGACGAAATCAATTTTAATAAATTTTCAAGGGAACGCGAGAAACGCCATCGTGAAAGGCGCCGATACGCAAGTAGCAGTTCGTCTGACTGAACGGCATCGAGAGCATGCAGATCGATTGCGTTAAGATTATGCTGATCAATCGATCGATGAATTGGTTTTACAGTGAACCTTTCGAATGATGAAGGTCCCATGTGTGCCTAGCGTTCGTGTTTTATGAAGATTTTTGTCGAATTCAAATAAAGCTGTTGTCCATTTGAAAGTTAAAATCTGAAATTGTCCGTTGAGTGGCTGTGACATCACATTATTATTATTATTATTATTATTATTATTATTATTATTATTATTATTATTATTATTATTATTA